TAAAACTGTTTTATTTGTGTGTGTGTATGTGTGTGTGTGTATATATATATACATATATATGTGTATATATATATATATATATATATACATATATATGTTATATATATAATCATTCTCTCTAAAAAAAGAAAGTAATTTTCGATGAAACTCGCGCCAGATTTTTTTTTTCCTCGAGTCAGACTCCCAAATCACGTGACGCGTCCGAGGCATGAACTTTCACAAAGGGAACTCCCCCGTTGGGAAATATGGAGGATCGGAAGCTGAGTCGGTGCGCCGGGCAAGTAACCGACGAGACAACGGCACGAGTCAACATTTCTTTATAAATCGACTCCTTGTGATATGCGCAGTTCATCGCTTCTTTGGAAAACATTTACGGCCAGGCTGTTCGGTTTTACTATGCGGCTTGAGGTGAATGTTCTTGGTTTATATACTTTTTTTTGTTTATTACTATTTTCATTATTATTGCTATTAGTATTATTATTATTATTATTGTTATTACTAGTATTGTTATTATTATTATTAGCAGTAGTAGTAGTAGTATTGTCATTATTGATATTATTATCATTATCATTATTATTATTACCATTATCATTATTATTATACATTACATTATTATTATTACATTTCATTATTATTATCATTGGTATTATTATCATTATTATCATTACTATTATTATTATTGTCATTATTAATATTATTATCATGAACGTTATTATTGTCATTATCATTATTATTATTTAATTATCATCATTATTATCATTGTTATAATTATCGTTATTATCATTACTCTCATCATTATTATTTTTTTATTAATCGTCACTCTATTTTTCTGATATATTATTGTAGTATTCTTTACTACGTGTGCTGCTGTATAGATTTCCTATTTTTCGTCTCACGTCAAACACACAAAGTTCAAGCGAGATAAGGACAGAAACTCTCATCTATCTACATATCTTTGTATCTGTCCCTTCAGATAACGAGATACTTATCGACAAGAGTTTTCAGTGAGAATCACAGCAGCGAAAAACTTTGTACTTGCTATGTACTTCTCTGCGTCATCATGATTATAATTTCATTCATTATCTATCCCCTTAATCTCTCTCCCCCCCCCCCCCATTCTTTAGAGTACCCAACAGGCAGCTTATCAGGGGAATCGGAACTCACCAATATGCTGTTGACTAAGGTCGGAATTAGCTTGCCAGATGGATTAGGACTGTATTCAACCTCCGGAAGTGCTGTACGAGTTTTTCTGTAATACCTCTCTGTCATACTTAGAAAAACTGAATGTATAGAAATGTGTCGCAACAATCATAATCAACACAAATCCATTGAGAATTTGCGTTCATATCTCCTTTACTATTAAATGTATCGCAACAATCATAATCAACACAAATCCATTGGGAAATTGCGTTCACATCTCCTTTACTATTATTATACTTTTCCTATACATCCCCTTCCTCACCCAGAAATTTCCATCCCCTCAAAACTGCGTCAACAACATGCGATTTTCCCTCTCATGGCGCTCGCCCCATTGTTCTTTCTTCATTAAAGCTGACTCTCCTGTGCAGCACGAACCGGTACGCGTAACCCGGGACTAAAAATAACCCAGATCCCCGCCGTCTTTCTGCTCTCCGATAGTCTCTGCTTTCGAGTTCCAAGGTCTTTCCTGAAGGCGGGTCCCGGGCTGCCTCTTGCCGTGGCCTCAGTCGATCTCGAAGGGTAGAAGCATCAACTTCGCCTGAACTGCGAGCCATCTTTGGGAACTTTGCCTTGAACGTGTCTGTCGGATTACGTGCGGAGAGAGATTTGCATAACTGATTTGCTGGCTTTGTCATGTTCTATTGGCTCCGAGATAGAACCTGATGCTGTGATTGCTCAGGGGAACAAAAGACGCATAAGGATATCGCTTTCACGTGCGGTCTCTTTTGTCTCTCGTATTCCGAACGCTCGACTTCACAATAAAATAAATCATCAGATTCGTAAACAATATGTAAAGTACTCAGCTTCCTCACTCGCTAGCGTTAGCGTTCTTTTAATTTAATATGTGTTTTCTCTCGTAAATACAGCGGGTGTGACATAGTAATTATCTGAAAGATTATCCTTTCAGGTGCTCCATCAGTATCAGGAAGTCGTCACCTCATATACTGTATATTGGATACTATCAGCTGTCTAAGTGTCTGTATACCGTCTACATACTGTCAAAAGTTCAGAGCTACTTTCCGCTAAATATATATGATTCACGATGCCTGATTTCATATTATTCATCTCTTGGGCCGAGAAGCGGCTGGAAGACGTTAGATGGGGACTTTAACGGTATAATGAAATCATGGTTTTGAACAGCGCTTTTTCTCACAATTGTGATACGAAATGCACAGAGAAGATAAGTTCTTCAACGCTACTGATTTATACCTTGCGATTTACCTGTCAGCACAGCAGAAATTCAATTCATGAAATAATAGCAAGGACGGAAAAATGATAACGCTTCGCTTATTGTATGCAA